CAAAAAATCATTAAATTTATCAGAAGTTTTATGTCAAGTTTATTATTATAAATATTTTTGTCTATATAAAAATATAGTAATAATGATCATCATCGTCATGATCATGAACATTAGCAACATTGTGATGATGACTTTACTAGAAATTGTTTTGTTTTATTTAGATTTATCAAGAGTATCTTCTAAACTAAAAAAGTTTTATCGTGAACGTTATGAGAAAACTAGTGAACCTCAACCACCATTTAGAGCATCTAAAAATGTTGATCTAATACAAAAATTTGTTGATCTGTGTATTGTTGATGCAGTGACTGCTCAAAAAGGTGTTTTTAGTGCTGAACGGGAGATATTTCTTGAAAAGCAAATGAGTTATACACCAATTTCATATAGTGAAATATTTATAAAAGAAAATTCTGTAACATTAATATCTGGAATAGCTGGTATTGGGAAAACATGGTTGCTTATGAAATGTTTGCTTGATTGGTCAAATAATTTAATTTGGAAAAATGTTGATCTTGTTTTTTATTTTGAATGCAGATGGCTTAACCAATATCCAAAAATTTCTAATATTAATGAATTACTAATGTTTGGTCATTATATTTTATTGATAATGTGAATGTAAACAATGTTTTATTAAAGTAATGTAAACTATTACATTTCACAATTCGCAATTGTAAATTTATATTTGTTTCGGAGAGTTAAATATGGACAATAAACAATAATATTTTTTTAGTGTTGTGTAGTTGTAACAAATGATCACTATTTTTAAGTCTCCATAGAACTAATGGACAATTAATATAACATAAAAGTCATCGTTATATTTTTGAACGAAATAAAATTTTAAAAATGAAATACTGCAATTGTCGGTTTAACAAAAAATAAAAAGGAAGTATTATTATTGAATGCTTTCCATTAAAAAACAGGTAACAAATATATTTAAACTTATTAATTTAAGTTGCCTTTTTAATATATTTTCTATCATTATTCCATAATTCGTTCAGTTAAACAAACAAAGCATGGTAGTTTAAACGAACACTAGAATTAAGAAATGCTTTTCTTTTCTTTGGTTTCATACATCATATCTTTTTTTCTATGTGAAATAGGATATTAGGTAACGCATTAATCTTGTCCATCGCAATCCGCCATTTCTTTAATGCAACTTTAAAATATTTGCGCTTGCGCAGAAGTAATATACATTTGCCACGGATTGGTCAAAATTAAATACCGCATTTTGAAAATAAATAAAAAATTTTATAACGCGTTTTGAAAATAAATGTTTTTTAGAAGTAAAAAAATATTGGGTTATACTTCGTTTAGCATATATTCGGACACAATGTCTGCTAGGTCCTTATAAACTAAAAATAAACCACACAATTTCTAAAAAATTTTTAAAATGGCGTTTACCGCGTTTTGAAAATAAACTCTTCATATATATATATATATATATATATATATATATATATATATATATATATATATATATATAAAAAATATAGATATAATATATATATATATATATATATATATATATATATATATATATATATATATATATATATATATATATATATATATATATATATATATATATATATATATATTTAAATATATTATTTAAGATTATTGAATAATTCCTTTCCAATCGTAGTATAAAAGTTGTCCTTGATGGGCAGCACTCTTCTTCTTATTCTGTAACCTCAGGGGTTTCTCAATGTTAAATCCTAGGCCCTATAGTTTTTTAAATTTACATTAGCGATATTCCAGATATTCTCACATCTAAGGTGGCATTGTTTGCTGATGATACTACCATTTATTCTTGTCACGATAAGAAGCCAACTCCCTCTGATTGCTTGCAGGGGGCATTTGAGCTTGAAAAAGATCTCACTTCTGCTATAGCATAGGGCTCACAGTGGCTGGTGAACTTTAATTCAGATAAAACTCAATCTTTTTCAGCCAATCATTATTGCAAAAACTTAGACCTTCCTATATTTATGAACGGTAATGTACTCGATGAGTCATCTACCCTTCGTCTTCTTGGATTAACTCTTACTTCTGATCTTTCTTTGAAACCTTATATCAAACCCATTGCAAAATTAGCATCTGCTAAAGTCAAATCCGGCCTTGTATGGAATACAATTGCCATATCTGGGGCAGATCTTCTAATGATACCCTTTCTCTTTTAGATAAGGTGCAAAAACGCATTGTAAACATAGTTGGACCTGCTCTTGCAGGCAACCTTTAACCATTATCAAATTGCTGTGATGTTGCTTCTCTTTCTCTTTTCTACAAACACTATAATGGGCACTGCTCTAAAGAGCTAGCGCCTTTTGTGCCATCTACCAAAATTCATTCTTGTGTTACTCCTCATTCAATCAAGTCTCATCTTTTTCTGTTACTGTTCCTAAGTGCTCTAAAAACTCCTATGATCTAGCTTTTTCCCTCAAATATCAGTTCTTTGAAATTTGCTAGCTTTCGTTACCATGCTTTCCTGATTCATATAATTTGCAATCTTTAAAGTCCTCAATCGTTATCTTGCTCTACAATCTTCATCCTTTCTCTTCCAGTAACTTCCAACACTAATTAGTGGTTGCTTGCATATATGTATATATATATATATATATATATATATATGTAAATATATATATATATATATATATACATATATATATATATACATATATATATATATGCATATATTTATATATATATATATATATATATATATATATATATATATATATATATATATATATATATATATATATATATATGTATATATATATATATATATATATATATATATATATATACATATATATATATATATATATACATATATATATATATATATATACATATATATATATACATATATATATATATATATATATATATACATATATATATATATATATATATATATATATATATAAATATATATATATATATATATATATGCATATATATATATGTATATATATATATATATATGTATATATATATATATGTATATATATCAGCGCTCGAAATAATTATTCGAAGGTTGCCGATCAACATTGATCGGCTGAAATAAAAAAATTAAAAACCAGACAATGAAATAATTTTATAGACAATCAATTTTTATTAAATTTTTACTAAAATTTTTAATGCATTTTTTTGATCCTACCTCGCTTGATTTTTGTTTTGTCGTTATTACTTTATAACTTTTTATTAATTATAATTTTATTTATTCTTTTTAGAATTTAAGTAAATTGTTCGTTTTGCTGTTTTGAATTTATTAATTTTATTTGGAATTTAAGTACACCGTTGCTTTTGCGTTTTTCTTTTTGCATTATTTTGAGTATATATAAAACATTGCTGTTTTTATTTTAATTATTTTATTTAGAGTTTATATATATCGTCTGTTTAGCCATGTTTCTTTTTAACTGTTTTAATTTGAATATAAATAAAACATTACCATTTTTATTTTAATTATTTTCTTTGGAATTTAAATTAACATTAGTTTAGCCATATTTATTTTAGTTATTTTATTCATAATTTAAAGTTTGTCTAAATTTTATTTAGAATTTAAAAAAATAATTTTTTGATGTTTTTATTTTAGTTATTATATTTATACATTAAATAAATTGTTTGTTTTGCCATTTTTATTTTAACTATTTTATTTTGAATCAAAATAAAACTTTGCCAGTTTTTTTTTTATATATTTTATTTAGAATGTAAATATAACGTTTGTTTTTCCGTTTTTATCCTAATTATTTTATTTAAAATATTTATAAATTAATTTTCGATGTGCCGTTTTTTATTTTATTTTATTATAGAAAATAAACAAATGGTTTGTTTTGCCGTTTTCATTTTATTTAGAATTAAAATAAAACTTTGCCGTTTTTTTAAAACTATTTTATTCAGAAATTATATAAGTTGTTTGTTTTGCTGTTTTACCTACATTATTTTATTTAGAATATAATTTATTTCAAAATAATTTTGATGCTAATCAAATTTTAATTTTCTGTATTTAAAATGTTTTTGTATTAATAATTGCAAAAGTTTGACTAGCAACTTCTGCCGATCGAATTTGATTGGCCAGATTTAATTTTAGGCGATCAAAATGTCAATTTTTCCAAAAGTAGACAATCTTTGATTGTTGATCGGCCGCTATTTCGAGCGCTGATATATATATAAATATAAACTAATTTATACATATATATAAACATAATGTGAATTTCAATGCAAGATAAAATGTTTTTTATCTTGGATTGAAATACAAAATTTTTAAATTTCAATTGTGGAATTTGTCAAGATTTAAACAGCCCTGGCCCTGGACCCAGTTATGGTTTGTCAAACCTAGCCTCGTTCCCAGCCTTGGTCAAATATCAGCTCCTTAAAGATTTTTCTTTTTGATACTACAATTATTTGAAATTGCAAAAAATCAAATTATTGAAAAAAATTCACCACAATTTTTTAGAGGCGTGTGTGGAAAAGGTGTAGAAGATGTAGAAGTATGTGAAGTTTTTTAAATAGTAATAGGTAAAAACACCACAACCTGTAATGATTAAAACCTAATCTTAAATTTTCATAGTTAATAAAATTATAAATTAAGACATACATTAAAAAAATAAAATTAATAATCAAATAATAAAAAATAAATATTTAATTGTGATTTTAATTTCATAGTTAAGAAAAAAATAAAACAATAAACTTTACAGTTACTACATTGTCTTTTTATCATTATTTATTGCTATTAGCAACCAAATTAATGCAAAACCAAAACCAAAATGTCAAATAACCATATTTGTCAGATGTATAGGTTAAAATTCAATGTTTTATCTTGATTATTATTGCCTTATTATTTACCCTCTATGTATTCATCTTTTTATTGGATTTTTTTTCGATAGAAGATTTAATTATATAAAAATAAGAATTCAATTATTTAATTTTCAAACTGAAATTTTGATATTTGATTTTTAAGTTATTTAATATAAACTTTGATCACTAAAAAAGTTTTGAAAGTTATATTTTTTTCATATTACTATATTAACTATAGTGTTAAATATAAATTGTGCTTACATTATTATTATATTTATACATAATAATTTTTACCTAACTGATTATTAATTAATTATTACAAGTTGAAACTACAAAACACAAAAATATACCTACCATCATCATTTTCAAGGGACGCTGTTGGAATATGCTTAGTTACAAGCTTTGTCATTTGATCAACTTTGCAGTTAGTATTTTTTACCATTACCATATGATAACCTACACCATACTTTTTTTTTAAAAATAGTGAAGACCCATAACATTGGAGTTTTCCATCTGCCATGATAGCAATTCGATCACCTGATATAAGATATATGTAAAATAAAAAGCAGCAAAAAAAAGTAAAATGTAATTTATATCCAAAACTATTAGAGTTTAATATGTATTAAAAAATATAGAGTCAAATGTAGAAAAAAATAAATAAAAAGTAAAAAAAATACAGCTAAAGTCAATTATATAACACAAAAACAACCAATCAAAAACCAATGACAAGTAAAGCATGTAAACAAAAACAAAAAAGTGAAAGGCAAGAAAACTATGAAACTTAAAAATTTTTGGAAATTTTTAAGTTTCATATAATGATTTTAAAATTTTAGGAAATTTTAAAAATCAATATATGAAACTTAAAAATTTCAAAGAAAATCTTACTTGAAATTAATAAAGTTTTTTAAAAAACTTTTTCTTTGATAGTCTTCATAAGCTTACACATAACGCTTACAAGTATCTGATTTTCTTTTTAATCTAGTAATGATCAATAATAACTTTTCAACAAAAATAACTTTTCTACTAAGTTTTTAACTTTTATCAGCTTTATATATTTGAATCTTTAACCTGCTTAATAATTTAAATACTTTATTCTCCTCAATATTTTAAATACTATAACCTCCTCAATACTCAAAAATATAATAGTCAGCCCTAGAGTTTGATGATCCTGTTGAAAGTTTATTTGTAATAACACAGGAAATTTTAGAAACTTTCTCCAGCAGATTCTTTGACATTATTTTATCATTTAAATGTGACATATAGTAGTTTAACTAATATTTTACAACTGAATGGTAATACTTCCAAAATATTTCAACTTTTTTATGCAGATCAATGATGAGTACTTTTAATGACTACTAACTTTTGTGATACTAAAAAGTACAGGGTTTAAAAGCACATACAGGGTTTAGCATATAAAGTATGCTTATAATGCATATGCATACTCCTACGATCATTCTTACATGTATTATATCAGAGTTTTCCTTTTAAAAGAAAAGTTGCTTTCACCATGGCTAAAGTACACCAACAATCTTAGTATAATATCAATTTAATGTTGTGACTATTTTGTAATTTAATGAAAACTTTTTATTTTTGAAACCACAACGCCAAAACATGTACGATCAAAACTTATATGTTTATACAACCAAATAAAAAGATAGAGAAATATAGTAAATACTTATGAAAAAAAAAAAAAATTTATTAAATAAATAAATTAACAAAACTTTTTATATTCCAAACCTAAAACATCCGCTTCATCCATATAATGTGTAGTTAGCAGTATTGTACGACCTTTGCGCTCTTTTTGTAATAAATTCCACGTAAATCGGCGTGCAGACACATCCATACCACTTGTGGGTTCATCTAGTATTACTATCTGAAAAATTTACATATATATATATATATATATATATATATATATATATATATATATATATATAAAAATATATATATATAACAAAAAGTGCTGCTACATCAACTATCTAATAGCCTACTGCTACAAATTAGCAGTAGGCTATTATATAATAAAAAATTTATATTATATATAAATTTTTTATATATATGTATATATATATATATATATATACATATATATATGTATATATACATATATATATATATATATACATATATATATATATACATATATATATATATATATATATATATATATATATATATATATATATATATATATATATATATATATATATATATATATATATATATATATATATATATATATATATATATATATATATATATATATATATACTCTTGCATGGTAGTTAAAAAGAGTTTCCCATAAACTGTAGTTTTAAAGAGCGCGTTAATAAACCAGACCAGAAAAAGTTTAAAAACTTAAACTTTTTTTTTTTTTTTAAATGATAGACTGCCTGCCCAAACCAAACCCTCAGTCGATGTAGCAGCACTCCCTTGCGAGTCAGGCTATTTGTCAGTCGTTGTAGCAGCACTCCTTTGCGAGTCAGGCTATTTGTCAGTCGATGTAGCAGCACTCCCTTGCGAGTCAGGCTATTTGTCAGTCGATGTAGCAGCACTCCGTTGCGAGTCAGGCTATTTGCCAGTCGATGTAGCAGCATTCTGTTGCGAGTCAGGCTATAAGATAGTCGATGTAGTAACATTTACGCATGTTTTAAAAATGTTTTTTAATAAAACAAAAACAAAAACACTACAAATTTAAAAAAACTTTCTAGTCGTTATTATTGCGGTTTTTTAAAAATTTTTTAAAAAACAATAAAATTTAATGTACTTCCGCATTAATTTAATTGCTTTGACATTTCGACGACAATCAAATACAGCTTAAGAGACGAGGTAATTAAAATTGTAGTCGTAAGAGACTTTTTTTTACATTAAACGACTCTTTCGACTACACTATAAGGATATATATATATATATATATATATATATATATATATATATATATATATATATATATATATATATATATATATATATATATGTATATATATATATATATATGTATATATATATATATATATATATATATATATATATATATATATATATATATATATATATATATATACATATATATATATATATATATATATACATATATACATATACATATATACAGCATGGAAAATAAGAAATCTAAGGAGAGCATTTAATGACCATTAAATGCTCTCTAAATTTTGACCAGCTAACACATGGAATTGACAGTCAATTGTTTTTTTTTGGAAGTCAATATATATATATTTTTTTCTTAGTTTAAAATTTAAATCTTTGTAATAGTCCTTCATGACTGAATTTTATTAATACAAAATGGTTGAAAATTAAAGAATGTGTATTCTTTCTAAAACAATTAAAAAAAAAAAAATCAATGTATTATTTTAAATGGAACCCCAAATAACTAACATTCAAATTACCACCAAATGTTAATAATTTAAAGTAACTCTCGTGCCCACAGATTTTCATTCAATTAAAAAAGTTTGATAAGTTTGAAATTCAAGTAATTTAATTTTGAAAATTTATTTTAAATATCAAACAAATTTTCGAAAGATATTTTTAAAACTTTAAACTGAATACTCAATAATTAAAAAAATCATTCTGTGAAATGCTACTATAACAAATACTAATGTTACATTAAACAAAATTTTTAATAAATATGTATTTTCAAACATGTTTTGCATGATTCCTTGATTGATAGAAAAAAAAAAAAAGTGCAAATGCGCAATTGATAATTTTTATTAAGTTAAAATTTATTAAAAAAATAATTTCTTCATTGCAATTATTGCAATGAAGAAATTATAAAAAAAAAAGAGCAAACATAGTCTTTTTCTAAAAACGTTTGTATTCACATTATTTGAAACACATTAAATATGTCTTTTCTTAATTTTAAACTAGATTAAAAAGAGGTTTGTAATAATCCTAATAACAATAAGCAACAATATTTTTAATGATTTACTTTGATGATATGCTTTAAAATAGAAATCGTCTGGTATGGCAGGGAAGCTTCTTAAATGACTAAAGGAAAGATTGGAAGGGGTAGATGCAAATCTACTATTACTTCTTTGTATGCAAAAATTTTTGTCTCATTTACTTCTTTTAGACTGCCATCAATACATCTTTTGCTAGCCTTGCAACTACTACTACTACTACATTTTATTAGAGAATACTTCAACTTCAAGTCATTTTAACACTACTTTTATCTCTTGCTGATCTTTACTGCTACTAATTCTTATTCTGCTGGCTTTCATCTGCTACTGGCTTCTATCTGCTGTTAGCTTCTAACTGCTGTTGGCTTCCATCTGCTGTTGGCTTCCATCCGCTGTTAGCTGTAACTTTGGCAATCTTATTTTCACTATAATTTATTATAAAGGTCTCAAAGCATACAAGTAAGAAACTTGTTTTTTAAAACAAACTTTGTTTACCTTTCTTATTTTACCTTCCTCATCACGGGTGCATTTGAAAATATTATATTTATAAGCCATATTTTACTTCATACCATAAAAAACATTTTCAAAATAATAAATTACAACAAAAACCTTACATGAAATTAAAAAAAATTAAAAAACAAGTATTGGTACTACCTATCCGTTGAGTAACTTAATTTGTATAGAAATGTTCTAAATACTATACAATTTATGTTATTGCATTTATTATATTTAAGTGATTTGAATCCCATGTACTACTTGTACATGCAAGGAGACTTACGAGCAAAATTTTTTTTCATAGCCCCTCCTTGTGTATATATATATATATATATATATATATATATATATATATATATATATATATATATATATATATATATATATATATATATATATATATATATATATATATATATATATATATATATATATATATATATATATAATTAAGAACAATAAACACTAGAAACAAAAACTTAAAACTATACTAGAAAAAGTAGACTAGCTGCTATGTTTTATCTGGATTTAACCTAAATAAGTAATTTAAATATTAAAACTCTAGTTAACATTTATTGTTTACCATTGTCTTACATCATTTTTAAGTAGTTTTGGCTTTTCTAAATGCATTTTTTGAAGTTTACATAGTCTTTCAAAAAGACTATGTAAACTTCAAGTTTACATAGTCTTTTTGCAAATAAATCAGAGCTGATAAATCTTTCTTAGCTTTCAACAAGAATTGATGTTGGTCATTGTTTAATTTAATTTATTTAATTAGCAGTTTCAATAAATAAAGGTTTTTTTATTGTTAGTTATTTTTTTTTTTAGTTCTTTAGTCTGTTTAGATTCTATTTTCAAAAGAAGTTAGTAATAAAATGACTGGTAAAATAGTTTTTTTTTAGTGTTTCTTTTCGATTCAGTTTTGTATTTAGCTTTTTTTTTAACATTTTAAGGAAACTTTTTTTTTTTAAGGCATTTAGAAGAAGTTCCCTTTTTAAATATTTCAACTCATTTAATAACTTATAGATTTTAATTGTTTAGCTTAAAATTAGAAGGATTATTGAGAAAAATTTTTTTAGACAGTCAAACTGATGGCGATTTGAGTAAGTTAATCATTCATTATGTTATCCTTTATTTAATTTAATTTGTTTAATTAGTAGTTTTAATAAATAAACGGTATGCTCTTGGTTGTTAACTTAGTCTGTTTTGATTCTTAAGAACTAAGCAACTATCTAAGCAAGTTTTATTTTAATTTTTAGAGCAATGGGAAAGACCTGTTAAGTTTCATTATTGTTTACTTTGTTGTTATTTTTTGCTAATATATGAGTTAATAAGGATAAAGTTATTTAGAAAGCCAAACTGATACTGATTTGAGTAAAATTTATTTTAAGTTTAAATTTTTTTTATGTATTTAACATGAAAAACTAAAAGTAAATTATTATAAAAAAACAACTGTTATTTGTTGGCAAATAACAGTTGTTTTTTTATAATAATTTTTTATAATAAATGTGCATATATTTCAGTATATTTTAAACTTCTTTTTATCGATATGTATTTTTTCTCTAAAAAATAATAAAAAGTAGAAAAAATTATGCTGGAAACAGTTGAAAAAGAATGATTATGCTTCTTCATGTTTCTTAGTTTAAAGTGTTATGGTCCATTTTTAAGATATATCAATATATATATATATATATATATATATATATATATATATATATATATATATATATATATATATATATATATATATATATATTTTAAAATATTAAACTTGTTAGGAAACTGTATTATCTTTTTTATTACTTTAGATTAAAATATACATTGCTTTACTTTTTTAACAAGATTGTGCATTGTAGTCTAAGTTCATTTCTTAATGAGTTTGAATTTATTTATTTTCATACTAATTTTTAACTTATATATAAGGTAGAGCAGGGCTAGTTAAGCATAGGGTTAAGTTGGGCAACTAAATTATTTCAAAAACAATGCACTATATGAAAAAACATCTAATGGTTGAAAGTTAGGAAAACAGAATGTTAACACAATGTGCAACAAAAGATTGCTGGAAAGCAATTGAGTAAGATACACTGACACTTTTTCTATTTTGGACCAAAAAAGTAAAAAAAAATTATTTTGCTATTTTTGTCTAGTATGCTTATAATTTTTTTTTAAATTTGTCATCACTTAAGTGTTGATACTTCACCAATTTATCATCACTTAAGTGTTGATACTTCACCAATTTGTCATCACTTAAGTGTTGATACTTCACTAATTTATCATCACTTAAGTGTTGATACTTCACCAATTTGTCATCACTTAAGTGTTGATACTTCATCAATTTATCATCACTTAAGTGTTGATACTTCACCAATTTATCATCACTTAAGTGTTGATACTTCACCAATTTATCATCACTTAAGTGTTGATACTTCACCAATTTATCAAACTTTCGATTAAAATTAGCTGTTTTTTCTGAAGTCTTTTTTCTTTAAAGCCTTACAACTTTGATGAGAAATACTTTTGCTGTACATAATTTAAATACACATTTTAAAATTAGTAATTTTTAAATCGGGTTTCAAAGTTCAAGATAATATGATTATTTATTAATTAATATTTCTATAGTTGATGTACATTATATATATATATTTAAAATTATTAATTTCTAAATTGCGTTTCAAAGTTTCCAAGTTACATAAAATAATATTTTTATATTTTATGACACTTTCTTACTATTTAATTTTTCTCTTCTCTTACGCCATTAAAGTGTATAAAATAAAATGCTTATGAATTATTCACAGGCTTATTAATATTGAAAGTTTCATTGATGATTCACCAAAGTTTTGTACCATGTATATTCATTTATTTGTTGATTGCTCAAATTACCCTACACTATTGCTTAACTTACCCCGCTGGGGCAGGTTAAGCAGCGTCGCAAACTTTAGACAATATCTTCTCAAAAAAAAAAATAATAACAATAACTATGCTTTTTTTCTTAACAAATTTTTAGCAGATTAAATTATCTTTAAAATGTTGAAAAAAATTATGTAAATCAGATGCACTGTACATGAGATTTGTTAGATTTAGTAAATATTACTTAACTCCTCCCCCCCCCCTCCTGCTCTACCCTACATCATCTATATAATATATGCCCTACATTATCTATATAAACATAAAAAAAAATTTTAATAAATCTAAAATCGAATTATAATAACTTTTTATTATAAATACTATTTTCTTAAAAGAATTAATAAAATTAGTTAAAACCTTTATTTAATAGTTTTATTTTCAGTATTGAGTTGATGGTAAACCAGTTGTTAAACTAATGACTTAAATTGTATAAATTTATATATATATATATATATATATATATATATATATATATATATATATATATATATATATATATATATATATATATATATATATATATATATATATATATATATATATATATATATTAGTTAATCCCATTTTTTTTTTTGACAACCAATTTTTATGCGGAGTGGCTAATGAGTGGCGTAGAGGTCATATTTATATAAAAAAATTTTATATTTTATATTTTTACTTGATAGAAGTATTTGCGCCGATTGTTTGTTACTCTTTTTAAGATTTTTGACTAACTTTATGGCGATTTCCAAGCATTTCGATTGGCGCAAATAGATTCTGATGTCAAATTCAGTTAATTTGTTCAACAATGATTTCTTTATGAGTTCTTTTATCAAAAAAAACACTGTCCTTGTTAATTTAAGAAATATGTTGTACCTATCTTACACTGATTACGGTAGATAAATTAACACTTTGGCTACTGTAAAGTGATTTTTTGATGATCTTTAGGCATTTTTCCAGTCATACAACAAACTTTATGATTTTAGCCTCATTTTGTTATCAAATAATATATGTCAAATAATGAGCTTTGCACATTTTTGCAATAATTGAGGCTGGAAACTAAAAAAGCCCCAACATTTTATCCCCCCTGCCCAAATGTGAGAGCAACAAGTTGGTAAAATAATTTTTTTGAAATTTTTATTTTTGTTTATATTCATTGATAATTTTCAAGTTTCATAGTAATATCTCATAGATATTACTATGAGTTCATAAATTATAACCATATAAAGTTTAAACTCCCCTCAATTTGAGGGGGTAACAAATTTTATATAGTCATAATTTTTGAACACTTAGAGATTGTAAAACAATACTTAAAATTTATCGATGAATATAAGTTTAGATAAGAAAAGCAAAAAAATTATTTCATCAACTTGTTGCTTTCACGTTTGGGTCACAGGGGATAAAATTTTAGGTTTTTTTTTTTGTTCCCAGCTTCCAATTATTGAAACTTTTTAAAAAGCATCATTATTTGACATAAGTATTAGGGTGTGTCATACTTTGGTCAAAACTCAAAAATTCATATTTACCAGTGGCATTTTTTAAAAAAGGGTGAGGTTTAACATATGAAATTCAGAAATATCAAAAAATTTGAATTGAAATGAGTTAAAGCTACCAGGGAACTGCCTTGAAAATTGCCAAAAAGTGTGAATTTTTGATATTTTTATACTTTCAGGGTCATTTTCAATATTTTAGACTTATATCTGTTTTACAACAACCTTATCTTAAGAAATTAGGAATAAGGAAAGGAAAATAAGAAAGCAGGATAAGTAAAATTCATTTAATAGTTATACTGTTTCAGAAATTTTAATGAATACTTAAACATTATTATTTTTTCAAAGTTTTGTGGCGTTTATTTACATCTCTTCCCCCCTATTTTTATTTTTGATTATGATAGAAAATTTTATGCTGATTAAGAATCGTATAAAAACATAGCTCTGAAAAATGAAGCAAAGTACTCTAATTTGATCTTGAATTTTAAAAATTACACTAAAAACGCTATTATTCACCATCTTTTTTGTACTCTGTTATGATTAAAATTCATTCAAAAAAAAACTTTGAAAATAACATAAACAACCTAGTTTTTCTTGTCAACAAAAAACGAAACTGTTTTTTAGTAGCTACTGATTTAGAGATAGGCAAAGGCTTCAAGGAAGAAAAATGATAAAAGTTGATACCTGCCCCAACCCTGACCCTTGGATAAGTTATCAACTCTCTTGCGAGTTCTCCCTAAATCAGTTGATGTATGTACTGAAGCCCTCGCCTATCCCTAAATCAGTAACTAAGGGCAAGAGGGCAAAAGTTAACAAACAGAATTTTAAGCCACTATTCTGCAACATTACCTTTAAAAGTTTAATTAATTTTTTAAATATAAAGAATAATTTATGTAAAAAAAAAAAGTTTATTTTTTAATTATAATTAATAATTGTATTTTTTTTTAAACTATGTAAATTTTAGTATCGATGAAAATAAAAACCGGGTTGCATAATTAAAAATAAGATTTATAAAAAAGTGTTTAGTTGCGTTTAAAAAAGATAGCGAATATTATTAGCGTTTTTTGTGTAATATTTTAAACTTCAAGATCTAATTAGAGTACTTTGCTTTAGTTTTCAGAGCTATGTTTTTATACGATTCTTAATCAGCATAAAGTTCTCATAATCAAACATAAAAATAGGGGGTAGAGATGTAAATTAGTGCCAGTTTTGTATGTAATTTAAGTTATACATTTTAATTGATGGTTCTAAATGGCTACACAGAAAACATCATTCTAAAGTTTTTTGTTTTAATATTTGTTATGCAAGTTATACATTTATATACATATATATATATATATATATATATATATATATATATATATATATATATATATATATATATATATATATATATATATATATATATATATATATATATATATATATATATATATATATATATATATATATATATATATATATATATATAATTTTTAAAATTACTAGATACAAAGTATAATTAAATTTAAAATGGCTGCTGGAACAAGATGGAGAAATGATTCTTTTCTACGCCAATATTTGGGATCTGGAAAAGAGTTGCCAACAGCTGAACTGCCAACACTGAGAGATGTCCTAAGATATGGTATTTTTTTAAGAGAAACAAGCAAACTAAACAGAAGAAACTATAGTAATTCTGATTTGATCCAGAATATTTATAATAAAATTTCAGAAAAATGGCAAATGGCCAGTGTTTTATTTGTGCCTCCCGTAATTAGTTTAAAACATAATTTGGTAACAAGACTTAAAGTTGCATGGAACAAAGCTAACCTGATTTCTCAAAATAGAGCAAGTAAACTTATAAAACAAAAGTTTAATTTAATTATTGACAAACTATTTGATTTGGTGGAGTGTAACTGTAAAATATCTCTTTGTTCTGAGCAATGCTGTTCTACTGACTGTAAAGTTGGTGCCCACATTACCTGCATATGTCCTAGGGAGAGAAAAATACCAATAAATGAACTGGTTTATATAAAAGGTATGAGTGGTTTATATAACTGGTTTATATAAAAGGTATGAACTGGTTTATATAAAAGGTATGAGATATGAAAGTCACTATAAAAGTGTTAGTAAAGCAGAAAACCAAATTTTATTATACTATACTGATTTCTTTGATTATTTTAAAAAGAAAATTTTATTTTAATTTGTCTGGTTGTAAGCAAATTGTTGTCACATTTTTTTAGCCCAACGAGAAAAGATTGGATCTTTAAGTTCATATCAACTTGGGCCTGCTGATTTGATGGAGTCCAAAAAGTTCAAAAAAGTACAAAGTTGCAAACGAAGAAGAGAAGAAGAAAAACAAATGAGAGAAAAAAAACACACTAATTAAAAAGAAAATAATACGCAATATGAACAAGATAACGAACATGAAAATTATGAAGAGAAATCTAATGAAAATGAGATTTTTTCTATTCAAAAGCCTTGTACAAAATATTTAAAAAAATCTAGAAATTATGAAGATAATATTGCATAATATTATCTAATATTGCATTGGCCAGTATTCGATATGGTGTTGGTTTAAGAGCAACTGCAGCCATAGCTACTGCAGCATGGGTAGATGGAGGACTTGTATCCCAAAGTGACACTAGAATAATAATAGATCACAGTAAAGTTCGGAGAGCTAGGGATAAAGTCATGAATGAAGTTGCTGTTCAGTTTGATGATTATTGTAATAAAGAGATTATTGACTGCATATTTTTTGATGGGCGAAAAGATCTTACTAAAGTATTTTTAACTGTAGATGGATCAGACAGTCAGTATCCGGCTAAAGTAAAAGAAGAACATTACACTGTTTGTTCTGGTGATGGTAAGTATTTATTTCATTTCACTCCAGCTAAAGAAGCAAAAAAGAACCATGCTAAAATTATAGCAGATAAGACTATTGAGTATATTGCAATGAGAAACATTAGTACACACTTAAAAGCAATTGGCGGAAATTCTACCGATGTAAACACTGGTTGGGATGGAGGAGTAATGCACTTTATGGAGCTGAAATTAGGACGCAAGTTAAATTGGATTGTCTGCGCTCTACATACCAATGAATTACCACTCAAACGTTTAATTAAATTGTTAGACGGAGAATCTAAAAGCAGTACAAAATGGAGTGGACCCATTGGAAGCTTACTTGATGAAGCAACCAATCTTGAAATTAACCCTTTTTTTAGTAGAGTGGAAACTGGTGAGCCTCTAATTAACTTGAGTAATGATGTGGTTAAAGACCTTTCAACAGATCAGTATTATGGCTATCAAATAAATAAAGCTATACGCAGTGGTCATGTTCCTCAGCAACTAGGACTTCTGGAAATTGGCCCTGTTAACATGGCCAGATGGCTAACAACAGCAAATAGAATATGTAGAATTTGGGTATCTCATCATGGTCTTCAAGGCGATGCAGCCCAAAACCTTCTTAAACTAGTCGAGTTTATTGTAGGAGTGTACTTTCCTGTCTGGTTTAACATCAAAGTTAAATATAGTTGGACAGAAGGACCAAAACATGTTCTTTACCAGCTTAAGTTGCTTCAACACCAGTCACTCAATATTCAAAATATGGTCATTCCAACTATTAAGCGATCTGCTTGGTATGCCTTCTCTGAATCTATTCTTCAAACTATGCTTTGTTCTGAAAATAAAGAGGAGAGAGATTTCAGTGTAAACAAAATTCTTGAAATAAGAGGAGAAGGTGATGAAAATGTACAACTTGGAGATCTATCTGTTAGACCAAGAAGGACACCAGATATCAATACTAAAGCAATTTGTCTCAAGGACCTTATTGATTGGAATGAAGCTTTTGAACCACCTTTGACTTGTTGTATGACAACTAAAGACATCAAAGAGTATTTTTTTAAACCAATGATTGTACCAAACTGGTGTTGCCACACTCAAGCTGTCGAAAGATGTGTAAAAAAAGTTACCCAGGCTTGTGAAAATGTTTTTACAGAAGATAGAAGAGATGGTTGGATTAAAGGACAAGAGTTGTCACAGAAGTTGATGTCACGAAACCTATCTAAACAAAACCTTATTGGCTTGACAATGTTTAAGAATTAATCTTTATTGTACTTTATTTTAATGTGCCAGTAGATGTTTTGTGGATCTATATGAAAGTTTTATTTTTAATTCCAAAACAATCTAATTTTACAGTTTTAGTGGGAGGTAGTGGGAGGGGGGCAAACCACTCTAGTTGTTTTTATACAAATAATTATATTTTTTTAAAAATAGAGATGACGTTTTTTTGCGTTTTGTAAGTTTTTTTTAAAAAATACTTCAATTTTTTAAGTTCATACCTCCCCCTCCCCATTGGTTTTTGGTAAAATAGTGTCACTGGTTCCCTGGTAGCTAAAACTTTTTTTTTTTTTTTTTTTTGACGGTTCTAAACTTGTACTATTATACCTCACCCTTTTTTAAATTATGCGAGTCAAAATTCAAAAAAAAAAAAGTATGACACACCCTAATAAGTATGTCAAATAAAGTATAAAAAAAAATAAAAGTATAAACATACATAAGTATAAACATACAAATGTTTGGATTTTGCTTTATGTTAGCTATCTCAAACACCAAAGAATGCTGGATCCGCCACTGTCACAAATCTCTTGTTTCTGAAGCAAATTTGCTTCAGAATTCAGCGTTTAAAGGCTTCAAATGTGCAGTAAATATTTATATACATATAAATTTTCAGTTTATTTAAAAATATCTCAAGAAAATATGTAAAAAAAAAATTTTTAAATGTACTTTTAAGGTTCAGAGTTTGCAGTTAGATATCAGATCAAAGTTCAATTTATTAGAACAATTCAATAACGAGAAACCAAGAAAGCAGTTGCTGTATCTAGCTCTTTGAATCCACTCTTCTTTTTTTTTTGAATGGCTTTTTTAAAAGAACTCTTTATTTGAAGTAGCTTCTGAAGCTTCCCCAAGGTCATCACACGCTCTAAATTATCTTGAATTAATTTTACTGTAAGCAATTTTTTATTACAAAATATTTTTCTTAAAACAAGAAATTTGTTTCTTGTTTTAAGAAATAAATATCCTACCCTGCAATTTATTTTAAAAACAAGAAATATATTTCTTGTTTTGAGAAATAAATTTCTCAAACTATGCTTAATAGATTTACGACTTTGCTGTGAGTTTTGATGAGTTGTTAGCAACTTTTAAAGATTTTAAAAAGTTTTTGGAATTGATTGTACCACAAAAGTATGAGGGAGTCTCATCCGTTTGAAATTTTAAAACTATGACTTAGAATACCAAAAATTAACCAGTAATCTGTTGAAATATACAATTCAAGACCTAGTGGCTGGTCTTTATCAACAAAAACAGCATTCAGAAGGATTTCAGCTTTGATTTTATCCGTTTTTACATCTTTCCGGACCTCCCTTTGTTTTTGAATACAGAACTTTTTACCATTTTTTATATTGTGATCTCGGTCAAAAGATGCTAACACCAGCACCAAGCATCTATAAGGTTTTGCCATGATTTGAATTTCACCTGTGCACCAGGCTCAATATACATCTTCCAATAATCTTTATTCCAATAATCCCAATAACCAATAATCTTGTTGATCTTAAAAAATGCAGCACTTTCATATAAAGACACTAAATTAGCATTATTTGGTTATAAACATTGTTTTGTCCGTTTTGTTTTGTATCTGCCAATAATCTTGTTGATCTAAAAAATGTAATTTAAAAATAATGCAATGTAGATAGAATAATAATGTTTATTATGACATTGCTCAATACATGTTAAATTTATTTTTGACAAGATAAAATCAAAGTGCTGTTTCTATTAATTTCATTTTTATTATATTTCTACTGGTTTTTAGAAAAGTCTGTCATTAGAAAAAAAAATTGCTTTAGAGTTATTTTCTTTGTATTTTACATCTGATTTTAAACCATTTTGCGAACCATAGTTTTTAAACAATTTGTTACTTTATGACATAATTTATTCTTAAATAAGACTAAAATAAAACTTATAAAATTAAGTTTTTCTTTAAAAAAGGCAAAATCAGAAAAATCACAGGTCAAAAACTGTGATTTCCAGGAAATAGAAATTTAGTCAGCCATCTTATCAATCTCTTTAAGTATTTTATTACTCAGAAACCTGCCTGATTTTAGAAAAATGCAACTTGAATTTCATAAAATTCAAGGTTTGTGAAACAGCTCCATATTTGTTAATTTTCACTTAATGGTCTGATTTTTTTCTACAAGTTCACAATAACCTCTGCACTTCTCAAAAGTCTATATGTAAATAATTTTAAAATTAGAAACTTATTCATTTTATTTTTGCAAAAAGATATTTTAATGTGAAGCAGTTTTATCTTTACCTTACTGTTTTTTAACCTTTTATGGTTTTATGATATAAATAGTTAAATCTCCAGCTTAACAGTTTTATTCACGGCTACTGCTATATGAAGGTCTAAAACATGATGGCAGGAGGTTAACAAGAATAATTGTCGGCCAGGAAACTAAGCTAATCTTGTACTAACTCCTTTTAAATAGCCAGGGCTTGAAGTGGGTGAACTGTATGAGATAAAAAGCATCTAACAAAATTCTAATTGCTGTGTAGTAAATCAGGTTTTTTTAATTTCATAACAAATTTGTGCGTTTTTAAAATATCACCAGTTAACAAAAATAATAGTAATAAAAATGCGCACAATCAGTATAGATAAAAAACCTTCTATTACTTGTAATGACGTTATTATAAAGTTAATGATTTTTAAATTTCTATTTGCGCCAATTGTTTGAAAATGCCCGTAAAAACTCAAAAAATGTAAAAATGTTATACTTTAAAAGAGTGGCGCGAGTATAAATAGTCATCTAAAATAAAAAATAAAAATTTCATTAAGGAAACAATACCTTGAGAATATTTTACAACACTCCGCATATTAAAATTTGTTCATGAGGGTCAAAATGGGATGGGCTAATATATATATATATATATATATATATATATATATATATATATATATATATATATATATATATATATATATATATATATAGTAGGCAAAAAAATATAGGACTTTTTTTTTTTAATTTTTTTTTTTAAATTCGTATAAAATGGTAGTTATTATTTGTCAGGAAAAAAACTATCAATTACTTGAAAGTAGCAATATATTGAATCATTGTATTAAAAAATTAACAAAATTAAGTTTATATGACATAATATTCATTAAACATTATATGACTAATATTCATCAAATAATTTCTGGCAAAAAAAAATTTTTTAATTTAAGAAAAGGCATACAAAATCTCATGCAACTCAATTTGTATGCCTTGCCTTATTTACTTCAAACTTTTTACTGTCCACCTGATGAGATCAGGTTAAATTTGGATTCATCACTCCAAACTACTTTCTTTTAGTACTCAATGATCTTGTCAACATACTTTTTAACAAATAATAATCTCTGTTTCATATCTTAGAGTCAAATAGGGTGTTTTGCGACATACTCTACCATGAAATTCTTGCTCTTGTATTCTATTTCTCTTTTTGAGCAGCTTCAAATCTGTTTTTCTCAACTTGTAAAATGATATTTCTATCAATGACAGCAGATGTTTTTCTTTTACGGCCTCTTTCTGCTTTATCAGTTGTAGTCCCATTCAAACTTTATTATAATGTTCAAAAAAAGATTCTAATCTGATTAACTTCTCTGTAAGTCTGTAATCTGATTAACTTCTCTGTAAGTCCATTATTTATCATATCCACAACTAAGTTTCTTTGAGGAATCACCCAATGTTGTTTTACAATATGCATGTTGCTATAAATTATTCAATTTCATTCAATTAACCAAAACTCATGGGTTACAAATATATTTTATGTGTTATATCATATGTAAATATAATTTTAGACTTGAACTTACCAAAATTTTATTTTTTTACCACAAAAATTTAAAAGAATACTAAATGCACCTGTGCTTTAAATGTTTTTAAAAACAATAATCCTTTGGTAAAATCATGAACAAGTACATATAAAAATCTTTATAATAGTAAAAACTCTTTGATGTACATTTAAACTTTTTACAGTTTTAAAAAAATATAAGTAAATGGATAAGTTAAAAAGAAAAAAAAGAAACTTTTAGAAATTACTTGTGCCATTTATTTTTTTGCCTACTTTAAAGAAACTGGATTTCTAAAAAATTAATTGCTACTATATTGTTTTTTTTCATTATCATTGACAATAATAGCTTTAGTTATGCTCATAATAATTTCATGTATGTCTTTAGCTTTTTTTCAATACATTGCATTCTAAACACTGTCTGCCTCTCTCTTTAATGAAGGTTTATTAATAAAGGAGAGCATTGTTTGACCACTCTGTTATTTCTAAGCCCTTATGAATTTCTCGGGACCATTATTGATTATGACAATGTTTAAGCAATGTTTTACAAGTTGCTTACAAATTCATGATCTATGAATCCCAGTTGTTTTTACAGATTTTTTAAATAAAATTTAAGTTTTTTTGAAAAAAAAACACAACTAATAATTGGCAAAAGGCTGGTCACACTTGTCAAAGTGTATCTTCTTGTAACTATTTCCTCTTATAGCAAACATTATGGTGTTTGATTTATATAATTTAGGAATCTGCACTATATTAATTAAAATGAATCTACAACAAAAACTAATTTTAGAGGACGAAAAACTTATAGAGTACCTGGTTATGATGATTTTTAAACATGTTTAAATATTTTTATATTTGTAATTTATTTAAAAAAAGGATAAAAACAATAATTTTCAAATAAAGGGTGAAAAAGACTTTTTCTAAATAATTATAAAATAAAACCTTAGAGTTTCCAACAAGAGCAATCCCTACTGATAATTTACGCTTCATACCCCCTGACAAACTATTAGGTTTTGATTTCCTTTTATCAGCCAAACCAACTAAGTCAATCATACGATTGACTTCATCATTAATAAGATTTTTATCATCAACACCTTTCAAGCTAGTAAAAAACCATAAATGTTCTTCTACAGTGAGGTGATCAAATAGTACATTGTGCTGAGGACAAATACCTATAACCAATAGTAACAATAATAACAAATAAATCATAACAGTAATTTCTGTAACAAATAAAAATAATGATTTTAGTTATAATAATATTAATAATAATACTTTATGCAACAACATTAACTAATGCTTTTATTTTATTATAACAAATAATGATAATAACAATAATAATTTTTTAAGTGAAGAAACAAAAACAAATTTCTGTTGTCTTCCTACAACACTGGTGATTTGAAAACCATTATTATATCTTTTTTTTTTTGTTAGATCTGACATTGCTGTAGAGATGTCAGAACTTGTTGAATTATATTTTTAATTTATTAAACAGTTTTTTTTTTACTTTTGAATTTGCATTTTATGGTTGATGATTGGATGATGACAAGACAAAACTTCAAGTCCCATAAATTGTTGTTTATCTTCATTTAAATTATATATATGTATATGTATATATATATATATATAATATATATATATATATATATATATATATATATATATATATATATATATATATATATATATATATATATATATATATATATATATATATATACACACACACACACATATATATATATTTTATATATATATACATGTGTATATATATATGTATATATATATAATATATATATATATATGTATATATATATATTATATATATATATGTATATATATATATTATATATATATATGTATATATATATATTATATATGTATATATATATATATATATATTAAATATGTATATATATATATATATATATATATATATTTAATGATCAGTTGATCTTAATTATCTTGATTCTGCAGAGGTATTTGACATGGTACCTCATAGACACTTAATTTTAAAACTTGAGGCATATGGTGTAAGCAGAAAACTTTTAGAGTAGATAAAAGGGTTTATAAGTAAACAAGGTGATGTATTCTCTACATGGAAAATTTTTTTAAGTGATGTATTTCAGGAATCTGTGCTTGGACATTATTATTTTTGATATTTATGAATAATTTGCCTGATAGCCTTCAAAATATAATAAAACTATATGCTGATGATACAAATATTTTAAGTAAAAACAGTTCAAGCTGACAAGGATAAAGCTGTCGTTTGGTCAAAAAAAAATTTTTTTAGGTCTATTTTGACAAGTACGTAGTTATACATTATGGAACAAAAAAAATATCTACATATTTATTTAATAGATGATAGAGAAGTTGAAAAGAAAATTTTGGTGACAGAATTGGGAGTAAAGTTTTCAAATGATCTAAATTGGAAACAACAGGTTATATCTTCTACTTTGAAAGCAAATTTAATTTTAGGACAAATAAAAAAATCTTTTGCACATGAACATTAATTTAGCAAAGTTATTATATGAAGTATTTGAACGACTCCATATTAAATATACTGACACAGAAAGGTTCCGCTGCTACAGTAATTATGCCACAGTAATTTTTCAATTATAAAAAGAAGCCATTTGTAATTTAGAAAAAAAAACGAGCTCCTGATCTTAAAAACTTAACATATAAAGATTGCCTTGTCAAAGTTAATTTAACAACCCTGGAGCAGAGAAAATCCAGAAAGAGACATGATACAGGTTTACAAAATGTTTTAATAACTAGAAAAAAGTTTCACTTGTTAATCCACCATTATTTAAAACTTTAAAAACACCATAGATCAAAAGTTTAGATACAACAGGGAAATTATTAGCAATGCAATCAGACATTTCATGCAATCAGATAACTTCTATGCAATTTCAATGCAACTTCTATGCATTTCAACTTGCAGACAACTTCTATGCATTTCAATGCAATCAGACAACTTCTAAACAAATAAAATTGCAACATTAAATAATTCTTTGCCGGAAGAAGCTATCAACACGAAATCTTTCAAAATAATGTTTTTTACATATTAAAAATTCAAAATTCATGTTATACAAGAGGTTACAAAAATCAGTTACAACAAAATCAGTTACAACAAAAAATTATTTGAAAATAATGCAGAAGAAAATGTGCAGAAGATCTTGTACTGTATTTTGAGTTGCAAAGAGTTTTTTAAATAACTTTTGAGTTGCAAATATTTTTTAAATAACTTTCACATTAAAGTGATCATTATTAACCAAATACAATATAAAGTAAAATTGTATTCTAAAAAATTTTTTTATCATAAATGAAGCTAAATCAGCTATTACATGCACATATCTCATTTAAAATTAATAATAATTATTAATTATAATAATCATTTTATAAATAATAAGATTTCATACTTTTTTGTGAGACATAATTTACAAGATTTGGATGTTGGATTATACGCTTTACATTGCATGAGAATTTTCCACCTAACTATAGGAACTAAATTACCTTCTTTTAACTTCCATACCTGCTTTGAGAGCTCAGTATTATTTTTGTATTTAGAGATGTTAAAAGATTTAATATGATTGACGTATCTTAATTTAAAAGGAGTCTCATAGTTATTCTCATTTAAAATAAATTGCTTCTAGTTATAATTTTTTTGTTGAAAATAAAAATATCAACTTTTTTTTTCTTTTTTTTCTTTCTTAGGGACTTCAACGCCCTGCTGGAATAGATGTTCTTCAACACATTACCTACAAAAGACCACGACTTCATCATAATTGCAAAAAGTCAGCAATTTTATCATGTCCTCCCAGCAAGATTTAAGGCTACAAGAGATGTGAAGTAAATGATTGTGAATGCATTTTAGGCTTGGTTAAAAAATCATAGGTTAAAGCAGGATTTTAAGAAATGTCAGATAAAAATATTATCATAAACATAATGAAGATGACAAGAAATATTCAGATTTTAGTAAAAATAAATAGAGAAACAGCTAGAAATGAGGCTATCCAAAGGGAGTTTATTTCATGCTTGAAAATTATATTTTGGATTGGTTCTACAAATTTGAAGCCAAATTAGGCAGGATAAAAATCGCTCACATTAAAGGTAAGCATAAGAATTTAAATTTTTTAGATAACCAGGAAGACCCAAGACAATACACTTTGGGATCAGAAGATATATAGAAACTTAGTAAAAAAGTTTTACGTTTTTTAATTAAAATTTACTATTTAACATATATCATTTGTATAATAAACATATACACCATGTTAAAACAAATTTTAGGTTTCTAAAGGCATGAGGAAAAGTACAAGACTATAAGACAAACCTTTTAAGTTTGATGCTACTTCAGAATTGGACTTTAGTTTCACTGACACTAGTACTGATTCTAATTCAGAATTTGATCCCAAAGTTTGGCACAAAAGAGGATCAACTGATTGAGCCAACTTTCTACTAAAGGAATTAATTGTCATTCTTCTTCTTCTGATAATTCAGATGCTAAGCTCCATTATTCTCAGTTTACTAAATCATGTATCTTATCTCAGAGGTTAGGCTTTAGAGACTTTTGCAAACTCTTTAACAGGATCATTAACAAATGTAGATCTAATGTTCCATCCCTCATTCATGGGACTGATCTTATTACCTCTCCTTAGAATAAGGTAGAACTATTTGCAAAGAACTTTTCTTCAAATTTGACTCTTGAATCTTACGGCCATTCTCTTCCTTCCATTCTAATTAAACAGATTAACCCATTGTTAGACATTCAAATCACTCCAACTTCTGTTGCTTAAGTTCTTTTAATTAAACTCTTTTACTATTTCTGTCACAGTCTAACAAAATTGTTCTCCAGAACTCTTTTCAATTTTCACTAAACTATTTAATAAGTGCTTGACAAAGTCTTGATTTCCCGAATGCTGGAAAATGGCATATGTTGTTCCAATTTTCAAAAACTCTGGTGAAAATCTGGTGTGATCTGTCTTCATTCTGTTATTAGCAAGGTTTTTGAGTCTTTGATCAACAAATTTCTCACATCCCATCTTGAGTCAAATAACAGACAATACGGTTTTTAATCCTCTTGCTCTATGGCTGATTTGCTGCTGTAACTGAAAGGTTTTATGGTGTATTAAATGAACTGCTGTAACTGAAAGGTTTTATGGTGTATTAAATGAACTGCTGTAACTGAAAGGTTTTATGGTGTATTAAATGAACTGCTGTAACTGAAAGGTTTTATGGTGTATTAAATGAACTGCTGTAACTGAAAGGTTTTATGGTGTATTAAATGAACTGCTGTAACTGAAAGGTTTTATGGGGTATTAAATGAACTGCTGTAACTGAAAGGTTTTATGGTGTATCAAATGAAGGTAGAAAAGCTAGAACTATTGCTCTTGACATATCTAAGACTTTCGACAAAGTTTGGCATGCTTGTTATGGTGTATATGGGAAAGTTTTTGAGATTATCAAATCGTTTCTTTCAAATCGCTTCATTAAAGTCATCCTTGAAAGTCAACATTCTTCTTTAATTCAAGTACACTCTGGAGTACCTCAAGGTTCTATCCTTGGTCCTGTTTTATTTCTCATTTATATTAATGATCTTTTCTCACATGTAAAATAGCTCTTTTTGCTCAACTTTATACTTCTGTCAGATTACTCAACTCAACTCAATTATTAAATGAGTTCTTTTTGCTGATGATAAAATTGAAAAGAGATTTTTTCTGTCTCGACAAAAAAATCTCTTTTCAATCGCTGAAAACAGACAGCCAATTTTGAATCTGATCTCACTTCTGTAACAGATTGGGGCTCACAGTGGCTTTTAAATTTTAACTCCAACAAAACTCAGTTATGTACTGCAAACAACTATTGCAGTACTATCGACATTCCTATATTAATGAATGGCAACCTTCTCTTTGAGTCCTCTTCTATACATCTTCTTGGATTATCGTTTATTACTAGCCTCAATCTTATGAAAACCATATATATAGATAGCTAAATTAGCATCTGCTATGGTTGCTTCTCTTTATGTTGCTCGCCATTTTCTCATTCCTGATTCCATTCACTTCCTATACAAATCTCTTATTCATCCCTGTATGGAATTCCATTGTTATATTTGGGCTTCTAATGATGCTCTTTTTATTCCAGACAAGGCCCAAAAACGCACTGTAAATGTAGTTGGACCCGCTCTATTAGCTAAGGTTAAGCCTCTTTCCCATCATCATAAAATTGCATCTCTTTCTCTTTTCTACAAATACTATCATGGTCACTGCTTAAAGGAGCTATCATCTCTGGTTCCATTAAATAAAACTCATTCTCGATTGACTCTTTATTCAGAAAATTCTCATTTTTGTAGTGTATCTGTCCCTGCATGCTCTAAAAACTTTTATTTGTCAAATTTTTTAGCTGCACTTCAACTCTTTTAAACTCTCCCTTCTTCATGTTTTCCTGACTCATAAAATCTTTAACTTTTTAGGTCTTCTTTCAACCGTTTCTTTGCTCCATAACTCTTTTTTTTTCTAGTAACTCCAAATTTAATATTGGTTACTTGCAGCCTTGTTGGAAGTGAATCAGAATTAACAGCAAAAATAATGTCTACTTTGTCTGTTGCAGTTATTAAACAAAAGAGGTCCATTAAATTTGATTAGTGAAAGTTTATTAATCTTTACACGTTTTGTTTTGTTTTGTATCATATCATAAATACATTAGAAAAACAATCATCAGCAATGGTTTTCAAATATTTATTTAAGCACCTTAAAGTTTTCTATAAAAATTGTTAAAAACAATGATGAATTTATTAAACTATTTTAAAAGAGTTTAAAAATTTAACTAAAAATATTAGATCACTTTTTTATTGAAATGATTTAGAGGTCGTCCATAAATTGCATCACACTTAGGAGGGGAGGAGGGGGTAGGCGATTTTATTTGATGTGTACACTTCGTTAACAGATTAGTTACAGCCTGTTAACAGACTGTTATAGCTGTATGTGCAGTACACGTTCTGCACTTTGAATTTATATGGCTCAAGTGCAGAACTTTATTTAGTTGGTGCACAAAAGTGTGCAGCAACAAAAAAAATCTTTGTGCACTAAGTAAAAAAAAAAACAAAGTTCAATACCGAGAAGCGAATCTGGGACCCTCGGTTTACTAGCTGGAGGCAGAATCAACTCAACCATGCTTACATTGTTTGATGAAAGAAAAGTGTATTCATAAAATAATATTTTTGCATGTATAATTGCATGTATAATTACATTTATAATATACATTTATATGCATGCATATTTACATTTATATTGTAATTTACATTTATATTGCATGTAATTTACATTAATATTTAATTGCGTGTAATTTAAATTTATATTGCATGTATAATTACATTTATAATTGCATGTATAATTGCATGTATAAATTCATTTTTGCATGTATAATTATAAAATATATTATTATTATTATTTATATATTTTATATATACTATTATTATTATTTATATATTTTATATACAAACTGCAAGACATAATTTATGGACGACCCCTTATTATTAAATAAACTTATTTTATGTCACATTTTGTCACATTTTCATATTAAAAAACTTATTTTGTTACTCTTTTTCTTTGTTAAACATTTTTTTCAATTTGAAAAGTTTAAAAATTGCACTGAAATAACTCCAAGGCAAAAGCAAGCAAGTAATTATAAGAAAAAAATTTTGTAATTAAAACTTTAATGAATGAATGAGTGAATGAATGAGTTCTATATTTTATTTTAATTCAAATTTAAATAAAAAATTTTTTATTACTTTTATTAAAAAGATTTAATTTAAGTTTTAAATAAGCGTGTATCTATGTCAGAACATTTTTTTAAAACCTTTTAAAAAAATGAAAATGAAAACCTTTTAGAAAAACTTATTAAAACTTTCAAAAACTTTTTTCAAGCCATCAAATGAGTTTGAAATCATCATGGATGATGAATCTTATTTCTGTGTAAATGGTGCAAATTGTTCACAAAACTCTGGCTACTATACAAAGGATAGTTCTCAAACTAATCCTAACATTAAATTCAACTTCAAAAAAAAGTTTGACGAGAAAGTTCTTGTTTGGATTGCAATCAGTTGTTTTGGTCATTCATCGCCTTATTTTGCTGTAAAAAACTGTGCACTGGATGCAAAAACTTATTCTAAAGAATGTGTTACAAAAAGACTTCATCCATTTTTAGATTCCAAGCATCAAAACATGAAAATTTTATTTTGGCCTGACGGAGCGAGATGTTATTATGCAAAACACACATTAGAAACTTACAACACTTTAGGTATTAACTTTGTCGATGCTAAAGATAACCCCACAAATGTACCGTAGTTAAGGCCAATTGAAAATTTTTAGACACATTTAAAAGCAAAAGTTTATGGAAATGGATTTACTGCGAAAAATCTTGACCACCTTAAGAATAGAATTCAATTAAAGTTGAAAGAGTTTGATCCAGACTACTTTTTCAACCTAATGAATTCAGTCAAAACTAAAGTTCGAAAAGCCGCTGATTTAGGACCACTTTCGGTTATAAAATAGTTAACTATGTCCAGTCTCTCATTTTAGTTAAAATTTTTGTCAAAAATTGATTAATTTTGTATTCAATTAAGAACAATTTTTCATTCCGGATTTTTTGTGAACAGACGTTATTATGAAATTCTTTACGTTAAACAAATAAATATTTTTTTGCCTTTTTTTTTTTATCATTGCGTAATTACGTAATACTTAATAAAGCAACCTTTTTTTTAAAATGCACTAAAAATTTTTAATTTTTTATTTAAGTGCCCCAAGAATGTTTTTTACTATTTTTATTTATGTAAGTATAATAAGGCTCAACCTAAAAAACCTATAAAACAAAAAAGTTTTATATTTGCAGAAGCTAAATTTTACCCTCATTACTAAGCAGAATGGCGCTGGCAATTCCTGCCGAGGCCTGAATGTTTATATATATATATATATATATATATATATATATATATATATATATATATATATATATATATATATATATAACATCTGTTTAATAAACATTTTAACATAATTATAAACATAGTTAATAATACTATTCTATATATAATTAATATATAGAGAAAAAAAACTCTATACATTACTAATTACAGTATCAAGAACTTACCAAGACTTTTTCTCACAGAACCAATATCTTTTAAAATATTATAGTTGTTAATAATTGCAGTTCCAGAGGATGGAGGTATCAAACCTGTTAGCATGGATATTGTAGTTGTTTTGCCAGCACCATTATGTCCAAGAAAAGCTGTGATCTCACCATCATAAAGATTCAACGATAAATCATCAACAGCTACTTTTGTACCTATGAAGAATGATTATCATAACAAAAAGTACAAAAGGAATACAAAAATACAAATATTATTACAATGCTATGAAATACTATAATGGTAATCCTATTGAATCCTCTATCATAAGTGTTATAAAGAATAAGTTGAGACTTTTATAAGAAGTTTGAGACCTGCTATATTGAGTTTCAATATAGCAGGTCTCAATTATAAATTGTCTATAAAATTTTTTATATAAATTGTCTATAAGATTTTTTATATAAATTGTTTTGTTTTTTATATAAATTGTTTTATATAAATTGTTTATAAAATTTTTTATATAAATTGTTTATACAAAATTTTATATAAATTGTCTATAAAATTTTTTACATAAATTGTCTATAAAATTGTCTATAAAATTTTTATAAAATTATAAATTCTTCAAAAATTGTCCATGTTTCAAAAATTGTCTATAAACGTATTTAAATCTTTCTTGGTTTCAGAAAATTTTCATCTTAAAATCTAATCTCTTTAAAATAAGCATCACCATTTTTTTCCACATGAAGAAACTTTTATACTTAGTAAAAAAAAAAAAAAAAAGACAAAATAGAAACAAATATTTCTGAGAAAATTTTATAAAAAAAATATTAGAAAAAAAGCATATTGACTAAATCCTTACAAAGCCAGAAAATTAATTTCAATACAACAAACAATTCAATAAACAATTCAATTAGCCCACACTACTAAAGAAGTCATCTAAACATTTAACTAGCTTCTCATTTCTGGCGTTGAATTTATCATATTTTTTTATTTATCTTTTGCAATACTCTACTCTATACATGATCTTAAAAGTAATTTAAGACAATAAGGGGTCGTCCATAAAGTATGTATGCCAAAAATTTAGAAATTTAGAAGACTTTAAGACCTAATGACAAGTTATTTTTGGGGGCATCCAACCCATTAGCCATGGCACTGCTAAAACCTGGTTTTTGCAGACTCAAAAAAGAGGTTGCCTGAAATACACCTTAATCAGGGCTAGTATATATGGAATATAAGGTGGCATGTGTGTGCGTAGAGGGAAAGTATACCCTTGACTCCTCTATACAATATATCTTTTTATGCTGGCAAAGTAGAATCTTTAGTAAGACGTTTAAGTTTTCTTTTGGTTAGTTGCTTAATTGTGATAAATTAAAAAAACTTTTAAATTATACCCTCCTCCCCCTCCCTATAAATTTTTATAGACACCACCTCCCCCCTATGAATTTTATAGACAATCCCTAAAAGAAATGCAGCAAAAGTTGAAAATTTGCTAGAAAACCATATAATACTTGTCAGAACTATTAACCTATAACAGATTTTTTCCTAGAACATAGACAAAAAATATGTCTATGTTCTAGGAACATATGTCTATGTTCCTAGAACATAGACATATTTTTTGTTAGGGAATGTAGACAAAAATTTCTCTTCTTTAGCATTAGTATTCTTATCACGATCTAAACCTGCACTTAAAAAAACTGCGTCTTAATCATGTCTTATTAAAACAACATCGTGAGGTTATTTTATTTAAATAAGGAATTAAAACTTTTGCTAGGAATTAAAACCAGTTTTAAATTAGATGTGAATAAAAAATATAAAACATGTTTAAAATACTCCTGTTAAAACTTGTTTTATAGTTAAAACAGAAACCAATTTTACTAAGTTTATTTTAATAACTCACTCTTTTCAAATTTACAATTGAGCTCATCTTTCAATATAAAACAAAGTTTGAAACAAAGCTGCATGATTTTTAGTGTAAGTTTTGTTAGAGCAGCTTAAAAAAGTTGTTAGAGTAAATTTGACAATTGAGCAAAAACAACTTAAAAGATCAAAAATGATTAAAATAATGTGTTGTTCTTCTAAAGAATTGATAAACAATATATTGGTTTAACAGAGGGTGAGTGGAAAAAATATTTTGCCAATTATAAGGAATCTTTTAATAATAAAAAGTATTCAAAAGACACAATGTTGTCAAAATACACATGGAAATTGAAAGATGAAAAAATTTTAAATAAAGCTAAAGTTGTAAAAGAATATAAGTAGTAGAAAATCACTTTACAATAATTTTTTTTATTTAACACTGTGAATAAAACAATATATATACATTTGTAGTAAAAGAATACTTATGGGAAAAATCTGAGGGCAGAGTACTACAGTTGATCACCTCAAAGCCCTGATTGTAATCAACTTTAGGATTACCTAAGCAGAGAAGTGCAGAAAAAAAAAATATATATATATTGTATATATATATATATATATATATATATATATATATATATACATATATATATATATTGTATATATATATATATATATATATTGTATATATATATATATATATATATATATATATATATATATATATATATATATATATATATATAAAGTAGTAGAAAATCACTTTACAATAATTTTTTTTTATTTAACACTGTGAATAAAACAATATATATACATTAAAGAAAATGTGACAAAATGTTGAAGTTTGGAAATAAACATTATCATGAAACTCATATTTATTGACATATTCAGATGTGATAAACAAATCTGAGTAAAAACAAAACAAGAAGCCATTATAGTTTATAGTCTTTTGTGTCAAATAAAGAGAGCAAGAATTTCTTTGAATGTCGACACTGAGATACAATTTCAGTCTTTTTGTTTAGTAAATTTGTTCCACTATGTGATAAAATTACATACTTTTCATAGAGACAGAGGTGGCATATTTTTGTTGTAAGATTATATGGGCTGCAACGTTTAATTATTCTCCACGTTATGATAGGTTTTATGTTTTGATCTTTCAAGCTCCATACTTCCTTTAAAAGTTCAGTGTCGTTTCTGTATTTAACTGAAGCAAAAGATTTTAGATGATTAGCGTATCTTAACTTAAATAATGTGGGACTAATACCAAAATCTACTTTTTTGTTACCTTCATTATTAATTGTAGCTTGGTAAACAATATTGTTGAACAAAGACTGTTTGTTTAATGGACAAATTGATTTGTTTACACAGTTACATTGCTTGGTTTCTATTTGCTTGTTGTTGTGCAGCATTTTATGATTGTGTGAGTTGATTATTGATTTTAGGTTAGGCATGCAGCTGTAACTAATCTTGATAGAATTTCGATTAAATATTTTGTGAAGCTTGTGGCCTGGTGGAAAATGAAAATCTATAAGAGCCAGAAAACGGTTACCTATTTTTGTTTGGACATTTATACTGTATGGAGGATTGTACCAAATTATATTTCGTTTGCGATGTTTTTTTGGTTCTTGGTTTTTTTGTGATTGGTAGATAAGCTTTGAGTTGTGTCCTGATTTTTTTAAAGCTTCTTCATATTGTGCAGTAGCATTCATGAAAGTAGTTTTGTTTAATGACATGGAAGATAATCTTTGTTCGATATTGCGAGGGATTGCTTTAATTATGCTTGGAGGGTGGTTAGAGTTAGTGTGAATATACCTTAGTTGGTTGTCAGGTTTGTAGTAAGGTTGGAATGAGTTGTTTTCTAGATTCAACGTAACATCAAGATAGTTTACAATTTTATTATTAGCTTGGATGGTGATGAGTAGATCGTTACTTTTAAAGATACTTGTTATATGTTTTTTAATTTTGTCCATTTGCTGACCGTTTTTGTTTTTAAATACGGCAAGGCCGCTATTACGATATAATCCGAAATCTTCCTTATTATAATCTTCCTTTTTATTTGTTTTTATTCATTTAATTACACAAAGTATAAATTGCTCTATTATTTGATAATATTGAACACTGTCATACGATCAAGAGTTTTTGTATATATATATATATATATATATATATATATATATATATATATATATATATATATATATATATATATATATATATATATATATATATAATATATATATATATATATATATATATATATATATATATATATATATATATATATATATATATATGTATATATATATATATATGTAAGTTTCATGATAATGTTCATTACCGAACTTCAACATTTTGTCACATTTTCTTTAATATATATATATTGTTTTATGCATAAATTTATACATACATCATTTAGAGTTTGCTGTGCTAGAATCTATGCTTATTCAAAAAAAGATTGAATGTATTGAACATATCCAACATATGGCTACAAAAAGTTCAATAATTATGAAAAAGTTACAGAAAAATACTTATTAACTAGTTATAATAGATGAACCTCATCGAAACGCCAGTAATAATAGATGGAACTCGGAGTAAATATTTATTACTTAACCACTACAAAAATTACGCTTTCACATTAGCTTTAACATTTCTTTTTCATTCTTAGTCTTTTACTTTACATCGTTATATGCATACTTTTTATTTTGCAATTTTTAAGTTTTTGTTTGGTGATATAATTGTTGTATATCTTTGTTCATTTTAACTGTTTTTAAAAAATTTTATTTTGTAAGCACATCTTTATTTTCGTTTTGACAACAGTCTAAAAATGTTTAGCTCAAAAAATAATTCTTCTCTTTTTGAATATACTTCATTTTACTCTTAAGCGTTTACTGCTCATGTGTGACCATTCAATATATATGCCAAAGATCATGTGTGGCCATTCAATTTATATGCAAAATCTTTTAAATAAATATCATACTAACTTAAATAGTATAATAGTTATGAAAATAGTTATAAGAAAAAAATGCAAAATTTTATAAAAAATATTTTATAATTTTTTTCAATTTAACTACTTTTTTGGATAGAAGAGCATGTTTAGACTGCATAAACAGGACAAACTTAAAAATATTTTACATTATTATAACTGGTTAAACCTTAAAAAAAATTGTTGTTCAACAAAATGACATTCTCATTTTGTTTAAGACAATGACATTATCATTTTGTTCAACAAAATTCAACAAAATGAATTGCTGTTCAACAAAATGAAATTGTCAAAAACTATGCAGTACAACAATTTATTTAAACAATTACTGTAAATGTAATAAATGTGTCAACAGTATTTTAAAAAAGTATAAGCAGTTTCAAGAACATCTTCAACAAAATGAACAAAAAACTACCAATCAATAATAGCCAACATTTTAGTGCAATCTGCAGGACTTGTATTCATATTTTGCTTTGGGAGGTTTTTCTCCTTGCAACAATAATAATAACAATAAATAAAAAAAAATTTTGTAACACTTATAAATGCAATAAAAAACATTTTAAAAAAATAACCATTCTCTGTCTTGAACACTTTGCTTAGATTTCGTATTGATATTCCAGGATTCAATCCTTCTGGATACCTTTCAATAAATTCGTTGTTATGTTTTATTGGATTGAAATCTAGGAGCTATAAATAAAAAATAATTTTTTTTTATAGTTTTTAAAATTAAACATTATATATAAATACGGTTAACTTCTGATAGCTTGAACCTCCAAAGGACCAAATAAAATGGTTTCACTTAACAAATGTTTGACTGATGTGAATTCCTGTTAAGTCAAACTTTGGCTGAGATATTAGTTGGAATTAAGGAGAATTTTCTATATTCAATGCTAAAGTATAAACATTAAGCATATACAATTATTTTAATAAAATGTTTCAGTGAAAGGAATTACACATTGTATTAACATTGTACACTTTAAAAAAAATATTTAAAAAAAATTAAAAACATAATGACTTTTTATTTGGTTAGATGATTGCATCTAAAAGCAGCCACCTTATATTAAGAAATTTATTAAAACTATAAAATAATTGCTTTTTTATAATTAATTTTTGCAATATTTTATTAAAGCATTATTTTACATCTCATAATTATCTACTCTATTCAGACCTAAATACAAAGAAAAAATTTAGAAAATATTAGACTACTGTTAATCATGTTTTATATGAAATAATTTCTAAAAAAAAAACTTAAACAAATTATTATGACTTCTTTATTTTCCATACAAAAAGTTCAGGTTAACTAAAAAACTTGCTGAAAAAGGAAGAAAAAATGGTTTGACAACAAAGTTCAAGTTATCCAAGGTTTGACTTAACCTAAGAATTTTAATAGTAATCAATTAGATAATTAACAAAAATTAATTCAAACAAAATTTTGAATTAACTAGTATTTGACCTTCATCTTGCTTTCTAACTATCTAATTATCTATCTATCCATCCATATACATATATATATATATATATATATATATATATATACATATATATATGTATATATATATATATATATATATATATATATGTATATATATATGTATATATATTTTTACGTATATATATACATATATATATTTTTGTATATATATATATATATATATATATATATATATATATATATATATATATATATATATATATATATATATATATATATATATATAGATGGATAGATAGATAGATAGTTAGATAACGATTGACAGACAACTTAAAATATTGCAAATTATATGAATCAAGAAAGCAAGATGAAAGAAGCGAATTCCAAAGAACTGATGTTCGAGAAAAAAAAATAGACGTAGATGGCACCAGAGATGCTACCACTTTAGAGCAGTGCCTATTATAGTATTTGTAGAAAAGAGAAAGAGAAACAACATTACGACAATGTAAAAATGGTTGAAGGTTGGCTATAAGAGCAGGTCCAACTATACAATGCAAGAGCAGGTCCAACTTTACAATGCATTTTTGCACCTTGTCTAAATAAGAAAGGGCATCATTAGCAGATTCGCCCCAGATATGGCAACAGTATTCCATACAAAATCGGATTTGAGATTT